AGGACAATATTTATTACATTATTTACATTATAATGTCCCTGTTATTTACATTATTTACATTATAATGTGCCCGGTTTTGAAGCGCCTCCCCTGTGGTTATTTCAGCCCATTTTCAATCCTTAAGGATGGGCCAAAAGTCAAGGAGGACTCACCAAAAACTTTCTGTCTGGGTGGATCTGTTTTCAAACATCTTAAAGGACAAAACCTACCCACGGCCACCACAAAATCACACGGATTGACTCTGAATCGACGCCAACCTCAATCTAAATTAATTTCAGCCCTGCTGAAGCTCTGAGAAGTTCTGATTGTCACTTTACCAAGCTGCTCTTCAGCACCAGTGCACAAGGGAGAGTAAAGGCAGAAAACAGCTCCCAACTGCAACCACGGCGAGAGGAACCTGCATTTAATTCCAATTTAAAGCTCTGATTCAGCTGGCTGGATGCACTTTTATAAATAAAAAGTTTCTATTGCACCTCTCAGTAAGTAGTTGCAGTTTATTTGATGCTTAATCCTTGTTAAAAACATTTTGAAGATGGGTAAATTTAGATTCAATTTGGGAACAAAGAATATTTAGGGAGAAATAAGGGAATTATTGAGCTGTTGCCCGTTTTGTCCTTCCTGGCTGCATTCTGGATAGAGATTTTTCCATCCATTGCTGTTTAATCTCATGAAAACCCAACCCAAACTCCCTCCCGGGGCAGCAAGGGAAGGGCTGATGTGTAAAATATCCGTGCTCACTCCTTTTTCCTGCGCCCGTGGAAGAAGCTGGCCCACTCAAAACACGTTTTCTTGCTTCCAACCCAGAACACCGAGGGGATCCCGACCACCAAGGCCATCAGGTACTTCATCAGGAACAAGATCAGGTCTGGGCGGCTCATCTGAGTGACCTGGAGGAGAAAATGAGAAAAGGGAGATTATTTAGATTATTTACCACCCATCCCGGCTGGTTTAGATCATCCCTCCCTGCCTTTGTTGCCTGGCTCAGACAAAAGGCTCAGCTGCTGGCAGCTCCTTGACTTTATTTGTGTTTCTGCTCTTTTATCCGTGCCCTGAGTAATCCTGGAATGTTTTCTCGGGAGAGTCGTTCCTTAGATGGGATTAACCTGCACGGGACCAGGTGCTGGGGCTGCTCCTGGGAAAGCTCCGTGGAAGCTTTTGTTCTTTATTCCTTTATTCCTTGGGCTTCCCGAATTCCAGGCTCTGGCCGGGTTCGAGCGCCTGGTTCTTCCCAGCCCAGCAAAACTTCCCCTCTCCAGGGAGATCGGCTGAGCCCGAAAACGCTCACCAGATCAATTCTCCC